TATGAATGGGAATAAAAATACAGTGAAATTCACCAATTATCATCGGCTATTGTTGTTGATCAACCCTGGAACGTGAAAGTCCTATTGGCGACGAACGCCTACAACTATATGAAATGATTTCCCGCTGAACATTGATACCACGGGGTTTAGGCCACAAAAAATGAAATTCCATGTATTTTTCCTATAGAAAGTAATCATTACACGATCGGACACAAAAAATTACCCACCGGATTCACCGCAACCAACGTGTAAATTAATGAAATCCACCGTGACTGTTTTTAGTATTACAGCAAAAAATGGTTAAAATAAATACTTTTCTACCTATCTAAAATAGTTATATAGAACTATACATTAGGTAGTGTTGTTGAGAAATCATTGATAGAGGTTTGACCCGATTGATCAAGCTCATTGACGTGTAGCTAAACGACGGAAATGTAGCCAAATCAAAACTAGGGCAAACTTGTCATTTGCTTTTTTTAGCCAAAGCACTCACCAGCTCTATATAATATAATAATAATACCTAAAACAATGTTTGTCACATTTACATACTTACATATAGAACATTACTCAACGACTCCATAACCACCAAATGTATCAAGATCAAAAATCCATTAGTTAAAATAAGATTTAAAAATCCATATCAAAATCGAAATTGTTTGTTTTATGAGCAGATTTATATATTATACATTTAACTTGTAAACTTTAATATTTAAACTTTTACACGCAAATTGTTTAATTATTTAATAGTTAGTAGGCATTAAAAGATTTATTAATTAATTAAAAATATTACGAAAGCTAAGTATGTAGTTATTATATTATACGCTTATTTATTAAATACAGTATAATAATAAATTTAAGAAAAGCATTGATCATACAACGTATTTACGTATGTATTTAAAATGTGAATGGGTCAACAGTTGCACGTAGCAATTATTATTGTCAGTTATTCAATCTAAGATAACGTTTTTTGTCTTTGCGATGATAAATTAAAATAACCTGTAGGTGCAGCAATCTAAACTGTTTATTCGAGTATATAATAATACAGTCACACGACTTAATACGTGAGAGTGGTATTGTTTAATTTTAAAATTGTCTAAATAAAAAACAAATTTGTTATAAATATTAAATCAAACTTGATAAATTTTAATTGTATGTATGTAAATATAGTATACCTATAACTTTTAAAAATAGTCATTATAAACCTTTACATTTGAAACTATAGTACCTACCTAAATTATTACTTAGGTAATCATCATTTGTGGAAAAAAAATATAAATTGTTACAATTTGTTGTATTGATAATAATGACTAGGTAGGTACTAAAAAGATGCACTAAAGTATCTACAAAATATCGATTTTTATAAAACTAATTTAAATATTACCCTATATAGGTAGCAACGGAGGTTTTTTTTGTAGTAGTATTAAAACTATATTTTCTCTTTTAAAACCATGGTTGCATCCATTTAAGAAAAGTCAAATACTAAGTGATCTATTTCAGAAAACTGTTACAAAATACAATCCGTATAGATACAACTGGTTATTTTCTACTGTTCGTATATAACTTCTCTTTTAACCTAAAATCATCAATTATCTGTCCGACCATACACGCAATACATAGTCGATATCGACACACTCATATATATAATATTATAATTTACTTATAAGTTATAAATTTATAATTAATTAAAAAAAAAAATTATTTTGACTATGAAATTCATATATTAAAACTTTAAAGATAGTGCTTATTAAATTAAAAGCGAAGTTTTATTGGAGAATTCGTATAGTTCCAGTCTTCCAAGGAGAATACAAATACTACTATCATGAAAATTGATACGGTTTAAAGTTGGTGGGTACTAACAGTACTAACGGAGTAGATAGAAAATTATATTATTTTATATATTTTCAAATGGAGTTGGTCAATACTAAATCGTATTATAAAGTATTCAATAAAATCTTTACCTATGTACCTGAATGTTTGGTATTTATGGAAATAATATACTTTTATTTTTATTTTGAAATTCCTGATCAAGTGTAGGTTTTTTAAATAAAGTATACTATATTATTATTGTCGAGTTAGTATTTCTATTGGTTTTTTGTATAATATAAGAATAAAAGTTTTTATAATATTTTCGAAAATTAATTGGTACAACACTAATAATAACCAACCTAATAATAAGCTATAAAAATATTTTAAAATTTAAGTGTTGAAAATATAAGTAGGTATAATGTCGACGATTTGATTAGTGATGTTTAATATAGTATGATGATGAGCGACCGATTAAAATGACGCAATACTTCTATAACTTATCAGTATGCTCAATAAATCTTCGTCACAACACATTACTACATTATATTTGAGTGTATATGAGTATCATAAAGTCTGAAAGACGCAGATTTCTCCGGATGCCCTCGAGCATATTTATCTCCGGTAAAAAAACATTACAAATTATTATATTAATAATAATAATAATAACAACAAATATATCTACCGATGAAAAAATATTACATAACGAGTATACTTCAGCAGACAATATAACAATTCTCGACGGTAAGTTCCTATATATAGCATAATATTGAGTGCGAATTTTTGTGTACTACAGGATACATTCATACAGTCATCAGGTAAGATTAAATATGGGTTGTATAATAGGTACCTATGTTTTTGCATAGATACACATTGACCGATACGGTTTCATAATAAATTACAATTTGTTGGATTCGGTGGTCCTGATCAAGTATATGTACCCACTGTTCCATCACCTTCACTATTGCTCTTTAGACCTAAACGATATCAGACCTTGGACTGACCAAGGACGCAGTTTCAAACGAACCGTTTACGAATTACCGTCATCTCGGAGTTTAACACAACAGGATAATATACTTACCGATTAAAAAGGCGAACATGTTAATGTAATAACAAAATACAAAATAATAACGATTTGTACAACACTTTTATTGGCATATATATATATATTATAGGTCGATACCTGTTTTGAATATGCACGAGGTTATTATTAGCAGATATTTATATTATAATGATTATAATGTCAAAAGAAATTATTATTGAATGGAAAATCATTACTTTGCGGTAACGGGTTGTGAAATAAATGACTAATAGGTTTGTTCTATAAAATCAACACACTCGAGTATTATGCATTAGTAGGTATACTAGTGGGTACTTATTCAAAATATGACTAACAAAATATTATACTCTTTACGATGAATGGTTTTTTAAAAATAATTTAGTTTTAAATTATATAAATATATTATACATAAGTATAGAACGTGTGGTTGTCAATAGAAAAAATCGAAATTAGAATATTACAACTTACAAGTATATACGCGTTAAGAAACATAAATAAAATATGAAATTTAAGATGGGATAAAATGAAACCAACACCTATAAAGAAATAGTTACAAATATAATTATAAATATTGAAATATTATAGCTTTGAAGTCAATCAACTGATGCCATCGTAATACAGATTTTTAGATATTTTTTCATTGGTATCATAGTATCCGTAGTTGGTTATCGTATAGAATGTAAATTGACTATCTTCAATCACGCGAGTATGATCAAATCAAAATAATTTTAATACAAAATTCAATATTGCAATGTTATGTAAACTTGCATTTTAACAACCCTTACGGATTGCCCAACGGGGTTAAAATCTGTATATTCTAGATTGTTGGTAAGTACTATACTAGTATGTAAAAATGCAAATGTAATTATTTCGATGGCATTTTAAAAAAGTTCCATTACACACACACACAGTTTTAGATTCTGAGCGAAGCGATGAATGTATTGATTTTACAGTGATGTGTGAGTGTGTAGTTTTTTAGTGTCTGTCATTACCATTTAGGACAGTAAAAATAATTTGATTTTCAACAGCATCTTTTCTGGTAGGAAAGAGAATCTAGTTGGTACTTTGGGGGGGGGGGGGTTCAAAGTAAAAGATAGCTTTCAAAAGCGTCAGGAAAAATCAACAAAAATTTAGGAATACTGAGATTTTTACGGAAAACCAGTTTTCGAAAATATCGATTTTGGATTTTGGTGTAACTCTAAAAAAAATAACTGTAGATACATAACATTTCACTGAATGTTTATATTACCATTTTCTATACACTATAATATTTTCAAAATATTTTGACTCATGTTGAGCTATTTATAGGTACATGAAATTTACGATTTGTTTAAGTTTTCAAAATTTATGTCGATAGAACAATTTTCGTTCGGTCAAAAAATTAAAAATTCAATAAAGTGATATTTAAAAAATATTGAACGTAAATTCACAATATTTTTTTTATAAGGGTCTGAAGTTATAATTTTGACAAACTTCGTAAAAATCAAGTAAATTTAAATTTGTATGAGCGTTTGAAGTTTAAATGTTTACAACATTGGATATTTACTCGATTTCTCAAGGAACGTTTTTCTTATTTTATCGTAATTCAAAAACGAATAAACGTAGATACTTTAATTTTTTACCAAATGTTAATTTTATCATTTCCTAAACATGACGACCAGATCATATAAGTATAACGACAAATACAATCTGTTATATAAAGTACAATAGATATTTTGTTAAAACACACTCAAGGTTTCTCGAGTGAAAAACACTATTGTCAGGAAAAAACCCATTGCGATTAGTTCCGTTCTAAATTTGTTTGCTACAATAAAAGCAACGTGGTTACAGCAGTTTTGGGTGAAAGTCTTAGATTTATTTTTGGTGCAAGGCGTAGCCTACAGTATCCTTGAGTTGTTTAGAAAATCGATAAAACGGTAGTAAATACTTATCACACACACGTGCATACGCTATAGAGGTTTTATAACCGTAGGTCGCATTATGGACATTTGTCGACTAACTGTTTTGGCAAAGCTCCACTCAGACATAATATATATTATTATAATAATGATATACAAAAGCGCAAGGATACGTATTAATTATTGCACCCAATTATCAACGTGTTATAGATCCATCGGATATGATATATTTATCTTACCTGCGATTGGTTTTGATCGGCTCATCTTCGTCCAATGAACTGCCAGCTCCTGAATCCTGCAACTATTAATAAATAAAAATGCATTAGACAATTAATTGCGATTTGTTTGGTTGGTCGGCCGGTGGCACCAGGCTCTAAACAATTAAATAGTGAGCTTTATATTTAAAGAATTAAATCACACAGATCATATTACACGATATGATATTAATAATTTACAATATATATATAAATTAATTGTGTATATTAATATAGTTGAAAATACATAAACGTATTATAAAAGTTGACCTATACTTTTAAAACAAGTTTTACAAGAGAACACGAAAAAGTAATTAATGCTGTTAAATGTTTGCCCGTTAGTTGAAACTGTTGTTTTCATTATTATGCATTACACTCGACTTTATTATTTTCAAGGTTAGATTTAATACGATTAAATTGCACGAAGATTGTTGTTAACAATTAACTAGAACCATTTTTATTGAATCAGATGTTTTTTTTTAAAGAAAAAAAATATAGGTACACTATACAGTAGCAGCTATATTTACCACGGAATAGAGAAATAAAAACCTGATTTATTTTATTTTTATATTTCCCTCGTGTGATGTATGGGCCAAGTTCAATGTACTGCAAACAATTGGATATAACAGTACACAACCTGGCCCCATCGTTCAATATAATAATTATCATTACTGAGCACTGGAAATTGTAATTTACAGTATCTAAGCAACTAACCGCACACAAGCCTAAATCATTTTTTCATGAAGTTTATTTTCATTGTTGGTATTACTGCCATGCTTTCGAGCGATCCGCAACATTATAATATACTGCAAGTGTATATTTTATACCCGTGAACAAAAGAGATATCAACTACAAACGGTTTGTGGTTTGTTTCCGCCGATATCATGCACTTTTATACACATACGCTTTATAATAAATAAGTCCATAACACACAGATTTAATAACAACGATAATTCAAGAAAATCAAACGAATGTATTATCCACGATAGTGCGGGACTACAATATAATCAAAAAAACATACCTAATTGATAATTATTATTTATTTTTAAATAATATAAAATACACAAAGACACTAATTACAAATTAGATAAGTATTATTTAACTGTTTGACAACAACGACTTATATTTCCTGTCGTTAAAATTAAAATGCATTATAGCAGTATTATCTTTCTACTGAACACTTGAAAATGTATACTCGGTTCCTTGATATTTCTAGTTTTAATGTCATCATTCTTCTAAATTAATTTATATTATTCTTTCAATATTCTAATTTCTAATAAAATATACTTAGTATTTAAAATAAATTATAAAGTTTTGTTTTAATTATTATGATGATTTAATTATAAAATTGAAAGTTATAAATGCACTTAAAATATTTAATTGATTTTTTTATGATTATAGAAAAACTCATTATCTTAACTTCAGCACACTTCAGTTTCATAGATGTTAACTTAAAAAATCCGATAACGCACAATGGGTTCCCTACTTTAAAATCAATTATTATTCAAAAATAAATGACTCATCACAAGTATAATATAGAGAAAGCTTGTTGAACTATAATGATATTTATTATTTACTAGGTATTCAAAGTCCTGCATTAATATATAATATTTGTATTTATTTATAATATACAGTTTTTAAATCCCAAAAGAGGCATAACAATCATTATACATTTATACTTTACTATAGTAAAATACTTATATAAAAGTTATAGCCTATTACCTAATAAAAAAAAAAATAGAAACAACTAAATAGCAAAACAAAAAAGTTGCATTAGGTAAAACTTATGAAAACTGGGCAAATATTATACAATAACAACTAACAAGATCATAATATTAACACAAATTAAATCATGTCTGAAATTAATGTCACGCTCATGACTCATACTACTAAATTTTCAATGAAATAAATTAATTTTTCGTACATTTTTAAATTTGAATTTACTGGCAGCATTAATTTTTCATATTTCTATAGGATTTTCAAGTTAACGACATCATTCGGCGGTGATTGTAACAGTGTTAAGAAGATGACTACATATTATTATGCTGATGACATCGTGCCCTACAATTTAACGTAGGTAAATCTGTAAATTTAATTTGGCGGGTGCCGGGCGGATGATACGTGCGTGCAATAATAACAAACGATTGTATGTCGCTGACACTTTCACTGTCACGACCCCGGCTTGCACGACCGCGACAAAACACGGTTACAGTGGATAGGGTTGTATATAGTAGACCAACAAAAATAATAAAGCAATAACAATAATAAAAATAAAAAACTGAAATGAAATGAAATTATAGCCATTTAAACGATTTCGAAACGATTTTCTCGGTTCTAGGTCACAAAGAGGCGAAAAAAGGTTAAAATTGTGCAGACAAAATTAAGTCATACACACTACGCCGGCCGCTGCGTCGGTACGTGCCACAGATGACCCGTGATCTCCACGTTTTTAGCGTATTTTTCACATTATAAAACGTATAGGTAACAGTTAATGCACTTGTGTGTCTAAGAGTGTGTGTACATAATTTCGTATATAGTATTGATTTAATATTTAGCTTCTAATATTTATCATTATAGTTTTTACTTTTGTTCAACAATGTCATTAACAATTTATCAAATTAAATTTTACCAAAACACACTACTACTACTCATTAAAGCCATTACCATTGACATTCGACAAACATATTTCCAGATTTGTCTATTTTAAATAGTGTTTTGAAATTCGCATAGTATACACAGCTATACTTAAGGCATATATATGGGTATAGTCTAAGATGCAGATGTATAGGTGTACTAATTCAAACAATTTTAACTGTGTAAGATTACTTAGTGCCCGTATTATAATCGTTAAACTAAGGTTAAACCACCGAAATTCGGCCGGTAAAATCAGTGGGTTAGGCGTAACCGAGGTTTAAACTATGATTGTAAAAGAGGCCCTAAGACTTACGTAATAGGTAAAAATTCACAAGATACACCACGCCGTTATAATATTATGTACATGAATAAACAGTAATTATATGAAACTATTTAGGTAAAACCAGGGCTTGAAACCGGTTATCGGTTACCAATATTAATCTGATGTTAATATTTGAATTTTTTCCGTTAAACAATTTCCCGTTGCAAATTAAACTAAAACGTAAATTTAGTATTATAAATGTGACATGATGTAAGGCGTTAAAAAATTATAACCACAATAATAACGACGACGGCACTATATTGTTATGACACGGACCTGGGACATACAGTATATATAGATCATAGATGTAACGCACGTCAACGAATGTCAAAAATTAAAACATTACATAGGTACGGAGATTTTGTTGTGCCGACCACTGCACACGATATCGACACGTACCTACATACATACAGTAGCCCGTAGGTATAAACATTATATTATATTTTTGATTATCGTTTTTAACAAGCGGTTGAGATTTGATTACCGTTGCGAACAGTATAAATCAACTGTTGACACTAGACACACATTACCTATATATACAATACTGAATACAGTGACAGTCCTTGTAAGGGCATATCCAAGAGGGGTTTCTGTTCCGGATCTAGCTCCCATCTCTATAGAAGCTTTAAAAATAACTGGTACCTATACATAAACGCTTGACAATTGTATAAATTATTTGTTTGAATTTAACTAAAGAGATAAATAGATAGAGATAACTTACGAGATGGGTAAATGAGAAATATATATAAATATAAATGTTAAATACATCTCCTCTTTGTAAACACTTTGATTTATTACTACAGCTAGTCACTAAATAGCCATAAATTAATATTTTCGTAAATATATTCTCTTAAAGAATTTAAAATTAAAACCACTCTACAATAATTAATAGGTGTTTGTTGTTTGACGATCACTAAAAGAGAGGTTTGTAGATGTAGCCTTAAAAAAATCACAATAAAATGCTGTAGGTATATTAAGCGCGATGAGTGATAACAAAAAAAATTACGAATAAATCCAGAAAACCTGCAGAGATAACGATCGATTCGCATGGAAAAAAATCACTTGCTCCCGTAGAGATATAATATATTAATATATATATAAAGCGCAAACACAGTACTATATATTACATGTGCGCGCTTGAGGCTATAAAACTATACGGTTGCAAAATGCGGTATGCGTTTAAATCATATTATAATATATTATGCACCGTCGACGTCGTCGAGCGGTGGTGCAGAATGCAGATATAGTAATATAGATAGTAGATACAGGGCCGGTTATAGGCGTAGCGACGGTAGGCCACAAGCCTACGGCAGGCCAAAATTATCAACTATATAGAGGCGGCCTATAGAACATCTAAGAGGCGGCAATTTTGATCTTTGCCTACATATAAAAAATTGCTTGCGCCGGCCCTGAGTAGATACATTTTATTTTTAATAAAAAATACGGAGTGATGTAACGCGTCTATTATACATTCATAACATAATATATTATATTATTTAGGTATGTGTATACAGTGTGGTGCGCCGGTGCACCTGATGCATTTTTCGTGTTCGACAATCTACGAGGAATGAGGATAAACAATATTATTATTATTATTATTATTGTTATTGTTGTAGTTATTGTTGCCTGGTTGCAAAACTTCAGCAGCACGCGGAGACCGATGCGAGCTGATGTGCTCACACAATATTGTAATAATTGTAAACACTATAATATAGACAACACGCGTTATGAATTATAATTGACACTTATTGTATTTCATATTATTATTATCGCTCCTACTGTTTTGACGGTTATAATTACTATTATGGATTATGGAATATGGAAACATACGCGCTGCACTGCTTTATGTACTGCTGAGGTATATCATGTAATGTATTGATGTTAAGGTAGGAGAAAAAATCGCAACTACGAATGAAACGGCTCATCGATCCAGTCTTTGCACAACGCGCGAAAGCGAGTCGTGCACCGTTTTAAATTGAACATTTAAGAATTTAATAGGAGAAAAAATATTACATTGTATATAACATTGACCTTGTAAAAGGTGTCTTTTATGAGTTTTTTTCTTTCGACTGTTAAACACGAATGACGCAA